TAAAATTTAATGAAAAAGACTCTGTAAAATAAAATCGATTCTATTTGTATATTTATGTATGTCTTTTGTAAGGTTATGTTCGCCTGTTCGTTAGGTTAGGAATCGTCCACAAAGAACATCACATTTGCACGAAATTTGACGAGGAACTTAAATAATTTTCTTTTAAACTAATCAAACTAAATATTGCATTAACCTTCTATTTTTTTATTGAAATCAAAGAGCTTCACAAAAAAATATTTGTAGAGGTGAATAGAGTTTAGAGAATAACGAAGAGAAATAGCAAATAGTGAGGATGACAGAAGTGAGTATGTCCAATAGGCAAATTACCTTGAAGGGACATTTATCCGGTATCCTGGGACTTTATTCAAGGCACAGCAAGCATTTCTATTCGGTTTGCTTGGTAGCTCTCGTTCAGATTCGCGGACGAGTCAGCGGCGTCTATGGCTTCTTTTCAAGTTTGTGAGCACGTTTCATTACGAATACAAGAATTGTTGGTACGGAATTGCTTATGGGGGAAAGGTTATCATCAATATTGAATTCCTCTATGTACAGACATGCGCCGGAATACAGAGGGACAACGTTCTCCCTTTTTCCACCTGCATAGAGAGACTACGTGCCTTTCCTTTGAAAAAGCAAACGGAACCTGGCGTGTTTGCTTATCTAAGGCAAGCATTTTCGCAAACTTTCTGAATATAACGTTGCACTTGCTGCATTTCTCGCAGTACGACACAATCGTTCTACGTCCTCGTGCGATTCTAAATTACGTCGCGAATAAATAATACATCTTACTATTTTCTACTGTTATCTCATGCGTTGCTTTTGACATTTCTCGCTATAAACGCTCTCGTTGTGTCTTACGAAAAATTGAGCAGTTCGTATTTACCGAATAACTACTATTACGATCAAATTTAACATGTCAATCTTTGAGCATCATCTAGGAACTAAAGTAACAGACTTTGCAACGAATTAAACTTGTACTGTCATATGTAGTTCTTAATTCAACAAGAAGATTTTTGTTTTTAATAAACAAGAAGTAATCGTATTTATTCAGGTGACTTTTCAGAATAAAAACAGACAACGTGAATCTTCAAGCATCACAATTTTAGAACATAAACATGTAACTGCCAATCAAAGAGATAAAAGCCTGACTTTATAACAAAGTATTAAATACAATGCGAAAGGTGTATCTCTCAATCTACTAAAAACAAGAAAAAGACAAGAAAAAAACAGTTTCCAGATAGGTAGAATAAGGCGCGAAGAAAAAGGAGCGTCGAGCGTCGTAAGAACTCGCGAGCAGTTCAAAATGGCCGCAACATTCGGCTCCCGTTCGACTGACTTCTATTGCGGCTTTACGACCTGTTCTCCGACAACTTTTTTTTACGGCCCGACTTCATTTACCAGGAGAAACTTTTCGACACGGTGGTGAACGCAATTGCGCGCCACGAGTCGTTCAACTTTCTCGAAATTTTCCATCCCGGGAACCAAGCCGATTCAGCGAGGACGAAAATCAGCCGGGAAATAGTGAAACTCACTGAATTTCGTTTCCTAATGAATACGGTTCGCGTGGACGATCGATCACTTTGTAATGTAGCAGATATTGAAATTGGAGGGCACAGAGGAAATTATATTCAGGGTGATTTAATATACTAACTTCTCTTTGAACGGCTGGAACTTGGACGGAGTTGATATAAAACGGGAAATATTTAAAAAAATTGCAAAAATGTAAAAACTGTTCAAGTTTGCAAATACATTTCGATTCACGGGATTAACAGAAAAGTTTCAAGTACAAAACTTCTCTCCAATCTTCCTATTTTCTTTAAATTCGACGTCACACGCGACAGTCCGAAGAAACTCGTAATTAATTAAAAACATTTAAGATAAACTGAAGGTGGATCGATAGCAACACCAGGGGCGTCTTTTCTCGTGCCATAATTTTCCCTGTTCCAAGCTCGCGGCGGATGTTCAGCTTCTTTCTCTGGCATCCGCGGCAGGGATCTGTTCGTCTTGAACGCGAATTATTAGAACGACTCTCCATCTCTCTCGGGTACCCTTGTTATCCGCCGTTAATTAGAGTACAGTCTGCTACTGACGACAAGCGACTGCAAAGGAGAATCTTCACCGACACACCCTTTCTTCCTGCATCTCTACTTCGTCGCCCACCCTTAGTCTTCCCTATGGCTGATCCACACGATGTTTGTGGCTTGAATTACAACGTCGGATCTCCACAGAACCTAGTGCTCTTTAACAGACTTCCCTCTGCAACTTGGGTATGGTTACCAATTGTTCTTGCTAACTGTTCCTACATTTTTCCTAACTGGAAATTAACTTTGTATATCAACATTTTTTTCATTCATTTTTCTTACAAGCTTGGTCGACTTGAATTGTTATTTTTAGCTCAACAAGGTATCTGACAAAGTCTGGCTTTGACAGCAATTATATACAAAGCTGGGTTTCAGTCACGTTGACTGAATTTTTTATGGCAAGATTTATTCGTAATGAAGTATCTTACTAACTGTAAATTTTGGAGTCTATGAAAATTATCTTCAGACCTGAATAACTATTAACTTCAGACTCTAACTCAATAACTATGAATTTCAACCTGAGATTCAATATTCTTTTACATAGAATTTCATGATTCATGTAAACCCAGGAAAAAAGATTAAAATGAAGCTGCAAGTTTCAAATTTTTTTCAGTTATTTGTTTTGGAGTCGAGGTTGACCAATCAGGAGAAGATCAGTATCGTCGAACAGATCGCGTCAATTAACGGTTTGGCGCAAGTTCGCAAACGAGTAGAATTAATGGCGTATCGAGTTTGTAGGACAACTAGACAAGGGGTGGCAGGGTGATTTGCAACGGCGCCGATGGATCTCGGATTTCTCGTCGACTCGTAACACGGTGTTCGCTAATAACTCGCTGGAAAAAGCGAAGTTTAGCGAACGAGGTGGCACGTGTCGCTGACAAATAGAAAAATCTGTGCTGCCGGTCCTGTTTTAATCAGCGCTCAGTGATTCGGGTCAAGTGCGACGATCAATCCGTGCCAGGATCGTTTGCATTCGAACACATTGCGTCTCAAACACTTTGCCAGACCTATCATTTTCGTTCTCTAATGAAATTCTTGCGTATTCTTAGTCAACTTCATCGGGAAATATTAATTTGATGTACAGTCAAATTTTGTACTAAGTTTGTAGCACTCGTGTGGTATTCATTTATAAAGGTTTAACTTTTTATGAACGTTTCGTGGAGAGCTTGATTTCATTCGAAAGGTTTAAATGTTTCGTAGAAATTAAAACACTGACTATTTCATCCGAAACGTTTAGTTTTCTATGTGACGTTTCGTAGAAATTAAAGCACTGACAAGTTCATCCGAAACGTTTAACTTTCTTTGTGACGTTTCGCAGAAAGGAAAATATGCGGATTAATTTCATCTGAAATAACTTTCAATATATTTCGTAAAAATTTGAAGTTATTCGTAGAATATTCATATAATAATGTGGGAAATTTTTATAAATGTGTTTCGCGGAGAATGCATACCAATCTGAAAAGTTAGTTTTCTATAAATACGTTTCGAGGAAATGCGAAAAGTATTTGACGTCGCGGAAAAATATGAAAATCGAAGGTGTCGATACGGTCATTTGTAAATCAAGCAGGTATAAGGGAGGCAATGTCGTCGCAGGATCAATCCAAGTGAAGAGAAATTGCTGGCACGTAAGAAACGTTCTGCCCCTCGATCTGAATATGAATCATGTGAGTTCCGAATGAACGCAGCTTTTGAATTATCTGACAAAGCAGAATAATTTTATGATATATCATACCACAAAATTATATAATAATTCTCTACCTAAAACGATGTAATAATACCTATGCTATAAGTAGTTATATAAATAGTTTATTTATAGCATTTGATAAATTTATTGGTTCAATCATGTCTGACTACTTGTGAACCAGAAAATCATGGTTCAGCAAACGTAGACTAATTCTACTTGCTGGTTCGTGTCTGATTACAGTCGATCCAATTCTACAGGTGTGATTATGTTCGACCACAGAACACATCATTCTACGAGCACAGTCAAGTTCAACCACACATTGATCTCCATTACTGCTTTGGACGTGTCTGACTATATACCGACTCATACTACTAGCTCGGACATGCAAGTTATCTTAACACGTTGATTGCGATGAAGATAACGGTTACATCATACAACATTTCATAGTTATAATTAATATACAATATTAAATTAATTTATTACCTTAAATTTTCATTTTTTATTTTAATTATTAATTTTATTATTTATATTCATTTCATTATTTCTACGGTTATAATGGTTATATCATACAACACAGTTATAATTAATATACAGTATTAAATTAATTTATCACCTTAAATTTTCATTTTTTATTTTAATTATTAGTTTTATTATTTATATACATTTCATTATTTCTACGGTTATAATGGTTATATCATACAACATAGTTATAATTAACATACAGTATTAGATCAATTTATCACCTTAAATTTTCATTTTTTATTTTAATTATTAATTTTATTATTTAAAATTCTTTTCATTATTTCTACGGTTATAATGGTTATATCATACAACATAGTTATAATTAATATACAATATTAAATTAATTTATTACCTTAAATTTTCATTTTTTATTTTAATTATTAATTTTATTTCTTTATATTCATTTCATTATTTCTACTAATATTTTTATATATTTTCATCAAGTTATTTTTGCACATAACAAATGACATTAATTATTGTGTATTAATTTTACAGCTTTCTTATATGTTCATACTGTTTTTTTGTGTAATAAAAATTTTTCTCTTTGATCATTTCCTTGTTCATAATAAATACTCTTTGTTCATACTTTCCTGTAGATAAATATTTTTCTTTGATCGTACTCTTGTACAGAATTAATATTTTTCTCTTTGATCATACTTTCCTTGTACAAATGATACTAATTAAATATGAATGATAACAATAGAAATACTCACTGTAGGGTCCCACGTAGATCGGTGTCCATGTGACCTGAGAACTGACGAGTGTCACAGCCACGTAGAGAACAACGCCGAAACACACACTCAAACGCGCGGCACTCATTTCACTAACAGCCCCAACAGTCGCCATTTCCCTCGTTTCAATCAGTTCTTTGCCTTAATATCATCTTCACCGGTGTTTCACTCTACCGTCGCGTTGCCTCTTTCGCTTTTGTCCACCGTTCCGCCGTGTTTTTAATTTTCTTACTTCTTTTCTCGGAAGAGCAACCACCCTCGCTCGCGATAATCTGTCACGATTCAAAGAAACTTTCAGACATCCTTCTTAACCCCCTGCCTTACGATTAACTATTCACAACCGTACACTTTCATTTCTCCAGACTGTCCATAGGTTTATACAAGATTTTTCCTCAGAATTTCTCCGTTAATTGCTTCACGGAAACTTCATCTAATTTGTTAAAAAGATTCATTGCTTCGCTGAAATTACACTTATTTTCCTACGGCAATTTTGCTGTATTTATTTTTTGTTCAATTTCGCTTAATTTGTCTCGGAAATTCTGTCTTGTTTAAAGAAATCAATTTCTTTATTTTGTATTCATACTACAAAGTAATCAAGAAGCCATTTGTACTAAAAAAATTATCTAGTGAAATTTCATTTCTTTTGCTGAAGAAATTATATTTATTCCGCAAAGGAAATTTTTTCATTTTGATGAAGATTATTTTGTTCAAGAAATTTTACTTATTTTTTTTTAAAGAAAATTCCTTTTCATACAAATATTTATACGAGTAAAATTGCTTTAGAAATTGTTTTTTACACAACTGATTTTTACACCGAAACAACGTAACAAGGCAGGGGGTTGCACGAAGGCACCCTAAAAGTATTTCCAAGTAAGATGTAAATCTCCGCGAAGATTTAGACGAATCGCGAAGTAATTAGTCCGACAAGAAACAACCCCTCCCGAGATAATTTCGTACAGACAGATAGAAACGGGGGTTAATGATCCGTGAACGAGCACCTGTTTTCCTTCGTTTCAACGTTCGCGGTTAAATCGCCCGTGTCATCATTGGATCGTCGACCAAAGGGAAACTTCTAAAATCAACACCTCTTCAACCCCCTCCCTTAACTATTTATTTCCCACTAATAAAATGATCATTTCGCTAAACGTTTCTTGCTTCTTCGCGCGATCATCGAATAATAGTTTTTCTTTGTGCTCGCATTTGTCGTTGAAACAAAACCGTGTATCGCGATATCGGGGATACTAAACGCGGCTCGATTTGAATTCAACCCCTTCGTCGGGGTTTTTATACGAGAACCCTCTTGTAGTCGAGCCGGGCCTTTTGTCTGAGCTCCCTTTGCTTCTTCATGTACTCGTGCAGTAAAGCTCTCTGCTGAGGATTTGAGGCCACGTCTGCAACAAAACAGTTAAAAATTTTGTTACAGAAATTCATTTAATTTTGCAAAATGACGGAGAAAAGTTTTGTGGATACCATCCTTTTGATGGTAATTTAGGTTTTTGATAGAGGAGGTTGCTGTGAGGAAAAACTGGAAAGATGTTCATTAAGTAAAATCATATGAAACTTAATATTATGAACTTAGTATTATGAAACTTAATATTATGAACTTAGTACTATGAAACTTAACTAGTAAGTTTATAATATTACAGTATGTTTTAGGATTTATTTACTGAATTATTAAAGAGGAATATAAAATAGATCGAAAAGTTAAACTAACCTCAAAAGAGTCTCTAACCTCAAAAAGTTACTCTGTTAAGATATTGAAAAATGTACAAAGAAATATTTATTAACACGTTGACTGCCAGACTAAAGCAATTTTCAATTGCATCCAATAGTGTTTTGATTTTTAATCAATTTTTCCAAATATTTTCACAATATCCTGTTACATTTATTTTCTATAGATCCATGTAATTAATGCGAGAATTTTCAATTAGGAAAGTGAATGAATTTTTAATTATGTACAGACAAGTGTCATATTAATGTGGCAGTCAACGTGTTAAATAAAAATAAAATACCCAAAGAATTAAATTGTTTCCCACCCCTTTTAAGACATCGAAGTGTACAAAGAAATGCTGTATCTGCTCTAAGCATCCTAAGATATTACCATCGCCATAATGACGATACCTTCGCGTCTATCTGAAACTATATCACGGTCACCCTGTTACGACAGCGCCGTAAGGGTGCAATGGACGACGTGATCGTGCTTACGCGTCGCTTCTACCGATGGAGATACACTAACGAGACATTGACGACATTTGCCGAGGGATGAAAACGCGAACGTCGCAGGGCTCAGATCTTCGTTGTGACGAGCATATTCGAAACGGTATGTTTTGTACGGATTCTCCTCATTACCGGTCGCGAATGATGTCGGGGGAGACGTTTTATTTGGATCAGATGCACGATGCTCCGTAACGAGTGCACGAAACTACCGTATACGAAATGTTGCTCGACGCGGTATAATTCAGGGGAGACTTTCGGTTATTCGGAATTATAAATTGGGACCGGGTGTTTCTTCAAACTTTAGTTCTGCCAGTTTAAAATGTTTTTATGATCCATGGAAAAGGTGTACTTTTGCATTCTTTTTTTTTTAAGGAGAATTTCTAAATTCTCTTACTTCTATGTTCCCAAATTCCTAAATTTCTATTTCTTTAAATTAAAAAGCAGAATTAGTTTGTTTCATTATGTTTATACATCACACGTGTCATATCAGTTAAAAAATGCTTATTTAAAATTATTGTATTAAATAGAATGAACACCTCTCGAGTGCAAAAGATTAAAAATTCCCTACGGTCTTACTAAGAGTAAATGCAGAAACTTCCCTCGAAATTTTCGAACAATTTGTAAAATCATAAATTTACAATTAAACCATTACACGAAACTAATCTCCCGAATTCCCTCAGTAACACAAATTTCCGAATAATTAATTTCCCATCGAACGTCTATTTCCATCGAAGCACGTTTAATTGGTCTGGAACGAGGGGTATGCAAAAGAGGATGGTACATGTAATGGTAATAACGATAGAAGGGTGTTCGTCCGTTTTTATTGGACAAAAGGGTAAGAAAAGGAGGCCTTTGTGCCGTTGACGTTCTCATAACCTCGAGTTCTCCTTTATCGGGAGTTTCTTTTTGAACCGGTGCATTACTTCCCACCGAACGGAAGTGGCCATAATTGCGTGGCACAATTAAGGTCAACCATGGTCTGGGGTCTATACGGTCCCCGTAGGTCGTCTTCTCTTCCCTTTTCTTTCATTCCGTTCCGGTTGGCGCGTTTCGTTAGCGTCGTTCCCGGTTAGCGTGTCCAATCAGCGAAGTCGGATTAAGTTAACTGCATCGGCGCCTTTTCAATGGTCTCGTTCGCAGCGACCGCGTTTGATTCGAGCTCTGACCGTCCAGTTAAAGAAAGGGATCTCCTTGCCGTATAAAGAGACACTTGGAGCCCGGGCTCCAATGGACGGCGACCTGTAATTGGACGATTGGATCCGCTCGACTGACCCGCAGAATAAACCCGCGGAACAGGTTAATGGAGCCGGCGAAACGTGTATCGCGACGACAAGCTCGTTAATCAAACGCGTTAATAAATAACGTGGCTCGACGCCGCTCTATCAATCATTCACGGAAGTATCGAGGGATCTTTAATCTCGAACGGTGTTTACGGGTGATGCAGGAGCTTCGATCAGCGGTTAAGCAGATAACGAAGCGAGAAGGACAGCGAGATAAGGAAGCGATCGCAGGAGTTTCGAGCAACTTCTCTTTGCTCGCCTTTCAGAACTGTTGGCCGGACGTCGGCTAGAAAGACCGGAGATAACGGGTAAATAATAGGCTAACACCGGATGCTTCCATCTTGGAGCGTCGCACCGTGAACGCCGTGTTTTGAATAAGGATCATTCTTCATACTTTTGACATTGTCGCGGCGTCAGCATAAAACGTTGAATCATTAGGATTCTCGTATAAGTAGACTCTAAATACATATAAGTAAACTGTATTTAGTTCACTTCGATTAGAGGTTATTTTTATACTTGATGACGAGAGTGTCTTCAAAAATTCATGTAAAATCATTCTTTATGCTTTTGATTTTATATGTCGCTGCATCAGCAGGATTGAAGCATTGAATCATTAAGATTCTCAGTAAATACATATAAGTAGACTGTGCTTAGGAATTTCACTTTGACTAAAAGTTACTTTTAAACTTGATGACGAGAGTGTCTTCAAAAATTCATGTAAAATCATTCTTCATACTTTTGACTTTATATGTCGCAGCATCAATAGGACCGAATGAAGCATTGAATCATTAAGATTCTCAGTAAATACATATAAGTAGAAATTGCAGAATTGCAAATGTAAAAATTAAAAAATTAGAGAAAATAAAAATTCAGTAAATAATTTCTGAAATCAAAATTTCTAAAGCCCCTCCAGAACATAACAGGCAATTTTCGCGTTAACTGATAGTGAGCACGGCAGCCGGCAGTTAACCCACATAAGTAACTGCAGTTTTGTGTGACTTTGAACATTACTGTAGTTGGTTAATCTCGTTCCAAAAGTTTCGGAAGATAAGGAAAATACGTACTGAAAAAAAAATTAACAGGTTACACGATAAACGGGTACTTCGTGAACTAATCAAAACCATGTACTACGGGAAGGACGATAAATTCGAGGAGTTCAAAGTGCTTCGGTAATTTCGTTCCTTTTGATTCTCTTTTCATCGCGAATTAACCAACGGCTGCATTTTTCGTTGAATTGATTTCACTTTTGAAGAAGGTAGCCAAACAAACGAGTTGTAAAGGTTTCGCGAAAGCCCGGAAACGCCGTTTGCAACTGTAATTTCGAGCTTGCGCAAGATCCTGGAAACACGGAAGCTTGAATTCGTGGAAGTAATTACTTCCGAAATTCGTAGTTCTTTAATCGCGCTTGGTCCAGCGCTCGTTTTCTATCACAGTAGCAGCGAAAGCCATTATTTTATCTTCACCTCGTTTTTTTCTTCCCATTTTCGAGGCCGTCGTAATTGCGTTCATTCGCAGTTTTCACGTTGAAATGAAATGCAAACGTTTTAGGTGTTGACTGCCGCGGCGGGATTTATTAAAATTGAATGCTAATGAGAACATCGGTCAAATTATTGCGGTAATTTACAATAATAAATTGGAAATTTCGTTATTCTTTGTTGCATCCGGTGTTGACGCGAGGTGTTCGTTCAATTATGTTTTGCAAATTACAATTGGTCGTCAGACGTGCGACGGACCGTTGTAATTATTAATCGAGTCAGGCATCAATTAGTCGGAATATCGATTAATTGCGTATCAGAGGTGTCTTGGCCAATATACATCCCCAATTTCGATTGTCTCAGCCTCTCTCGATGACT